GTGACATTTACTTTATCGCCGTGGTCTGGAACCGAACCCGAAATATCTCTGAGGTGTGCCTACACATACTCCAAAGAATGAACCCACTAGGGCTTTTCCTTATGAAGGAAATGTTTATTCTCCAGGGCCAACTCAGAACGCTTTTCTTTCATCTGCTAAAGCGGGGAAGAGAGGACACTGAACAGGTACTCTAGTAATAGAAGTGTCATTGCTGTGCGTGTGTGAACATGCCTACTGGGTTTTCTAGTGAGGCATCAGCTCACGCATAAACCTTGCCTGCTTGGGAGAACAACCTCTGGAAGTTAATACGAAGAGAACGACCGTGTATTGCCTCTGTCAGCTCCCGGAGGCCTGGGGCTAGGCTCTCACCTTGATTTCACAGGACGAGAAAACGAGCCAGTGAGGAGCACAGTCTAGCGGTAAAACTCAGGTTGTCCGACTCAAAAACCTGTATTCGGAATTTCTATACAACGTTTCTCCTTCTGTGCATGACGACCTCCCTTCTTACCCCGTCTGTGGACTAGGGACGCCCCCCGCTGCCATCTTGGCTCCCTTCCCATCCACATGGTAACTCTCCTGGGGTACCAAAGCCCATGTGAGTTCGGACACGTTATCAAGCATTTTTCAGATAACCAAATTTGAAATAGTTGGTCAAGAGCTCTGCCTGCTATCACCGGACGCTGTCAGCGATGGGGCGGGGGGGGGAGGAGGGGAGTGGGAAGAGCGGCCTAAACCAGGGGCGAGTATAAAGGAATGCTTCTGGGGCCTTGGAGGTTGGCTGGGGTCTGGCACAGCTCCGCTTGGGACTGATATGGTGGAATCAGAGCAGGCCTAGGGCTGGTGTGTGCCTGGGCTGCTCGATCAGGGTGGATCCCATGATCCCAGAAAGCCAACCCTGGTCACCTCTCAATTACCAGAATGCTGGGAAGGGCAAAGCCATCACCAGACCCATTCGGAAACCTGATTCATTCTAGATCTTTCTGCTCCTTTACAGCAAACCTGTACCTTGAGGTCAGCCTCCCCAAAACCCTCTTGATAGTCAGAGGACAGAGGCTGAGCAGAGTAGAGGACACACTTCTGAAGCTCACCCCAAAGAGGCTCTTCCAGAGTCAGGCTGGAATAACATAGGTGAAGTCCCCTGGTAGTTCTTTAGAATGTAACAGATCCTAAGGCACTTTTTCATACAGTCTTCTATCTAATTCCCATTTTACAGATGGGAAAACTGAGGCTCGACAAAGTCACGTTTATCAAATGACATGCTCAAGGTCATACGACTAGTAAGTGCTGAAAAGGAATGTAATGTACGTATTACTTAGAAAACAGTGATTAACTGGCTTTAAGAGCTAAATCTGTCTCCTGCTTGGGGATTCATTCAGCTTCTCAAATCTGTGGACTCAAAAAAATTTTTTTTCTTTTTAATTCTCAACCGTTCTATGAATATCGCTCTGTTCCGTCTTCTCGCCTCGCCTTCTGGGACTCTGGTTACGTGTCCACTAGACCTCCTGAGTGCCTCCAACATGGTTTACATTCTTACCAGCTTTCCACCCCCTGATTCTTGGTTCTGTTTCAATCTTGATATTTTCTGTCAATCGGTCTTCCGGTTCCCTAATCCTGGCTATTGATGTATCCGATCAGTAAACCTACTCACTGAACTGTTAATTTTAGACTTTGCATTTTTTAGTTCTGGAATGTCCGTTTGATTCCTAAAAACAAAATTCAGGGGTGACTCAGCTGGTTAAGCGTCCGACTCTTGATCTCGGCTCGGGTCACGAGCTCACAGTTCATGAGATCAAGCCCCAGGCCGGGCTCTGCGGTGACAGTGCAGAGTCAGCTTGGGATTTTCTCTCTCCCTCTCTCTCTCTCTGCCCCTCCCCCTCAAAATAAATACATTAACTTAAAAACTCCTGAGTCCCTGGGGATATCCTTTTTCATCTACATTGTCCATTTTCCCATTTCCTTGAATACATTGAAAAAAATTTTTTTAATATATTTTATTTATTTTTGAGAGAGAGAGTGTGCGTGCACAAGTGGGGGAGGGGCAGAGAGAGAGGGAGACACAGAATCCAAAGCAGGCTCCAGGCTCTGAGCCGTCAGCACAGAGCCCGTCGCTAGACTCGAACCCACCAACCGTGAGATCATCACCTGAGCCGAAGTCGGAGGCTCAACCGGCCGAGCCCCCCGGGCGCCCTGTGTTTTGCTTCTCGATATAAACGGCAGCCCATGCGAGGCTGCATGTTTCCGCAGCAGAATGTGTCACCTGAGACACGTGGTGAATTGCAGCCCTGCGAACTTCCCACGGCGTCTGCACTTGCACTTTTGCGTAAGGTGTATAAATTCTGGCAGGCAGTGGTTCCTCTGACGGCCACGAGCAGAACCTGGGTAAGATGCTTAAAGGCATCAGAGAACTGTAGAAACACTATGGACGTGAGGGACTGATATTCCGGAGAGGAGAGGACCACTGGAGAGGTCAGTGGCAGGTGGCAGCTCTTTCCGTGTCGGGAGCATTTGCCAGGCCTGGCTGCCGGCCGGGGCTGCTGGGGGGAGGAAGGAAGCGCACAGAACGGGGAACAGCGCACCGGGCCGGGGGGGCAGCCTCGGAGGCCGGCGGGCTTCAGGCCCACGGCTGGCCTCCCCACAAGACAGTGGCTGAACAGCAAGTCTCTGCGGGTCTGGAGGTAGGCTGGACGTTTCCAAAAGGCCGAGTAAAACTTCCCTCGTGTTTACGGTGCTAAGAAGTGGAGGCCTGCCAAGGGGTCTGGAGAAGAACCGCGAAGGCAGGAGAGCTCCAGAGGGCCTGGGGACTGGCGCTGGCATCTACATCCCCCCCCTCCCCCGGGGCGCTAAAGGGTGTGGGGAGGAGCTGGAGCCTCAAAGTCCGTGTTTGGCCCCTGGGGAAAAGACAGACCAGCAGAGATGTGGGAGCCTGAGTGACAGAACTGGGGACGAGCGGCCCCAGACGGCACGGCCCGTTTCCCCTTCAAGGTTTGCCAGATTTGAAGGTTAAAATCTGGAAGGCTACGGAACGAAGCTGAAGACCTCAGACAGAACGGGATGATCTCCCAAAGCCTTTCGGGGAAGAGGATGTAAAAACGTGCCAGGCTCCCAGCTGAGAGCCATGGAGGGCCTGCCCTAAAAACAGAGGTGAAGCCGAGGCGGACTGAGCCTGACCAGAGCTGGAACTGGGCCCCAACCTGGTTCCGTGCCTGCGTGGAACATGAATTTGCTATACTCCCCGCTTGCCCAGCAGACGAAGAGGGGAACTTTCTCTTGTAGGTGATAACGTCACGTGGAACCCTAACAGTGTGTTCATACCCATTTCCTACCATACAGTGGAGAATGAGCAGACATGCTCAGTCGGTTAAGCGTCCGACTTCGGCTCAGGTCACGATCTTGTAGTGTGTGGGTTCAAGTCCCGCGACGGGCTCTGTGCTGACAGCTCAGAGCCTGGAGCCTGCTTGGATTCTGTGCCTCCCTCTCTCTGCTCCTCCCCCACTTACACTCTGTCCCTCTCTCTCTCTCTCTCTCAAAAATATTTAAAGAAAATTGTGTGAAATAATTGAAAACATTTGCAATATTGCAAGAATCATCAAAATGTGACACTGAAGTGAGCAGACACTGTTGGAAAAATGGTGCCGATCGACTTGCTTGAGGCAGGGTAACCACAAACCTCCAGTTTGTAAACAACGCAATTACCCGTGACAGGCAGTAACGTGAACCCCAGCAGAACGCGGTGCGCCCCTACTCAGCATGCTGCCGTTCCTGCTCAGATCATCAAAAGCTATTTGATGAGGAAGTCAGCAGCGAGTTTTGTCACTCCTGCCTGTTAACAAACGTCCAAGAATCCCTTATTTCCAGGGACCTTTTTCTTGACTGTTTCTTAGAGCCTCAGGGCTTTGAAGGATTTCTGCCAGAGTGAGCCTTAGTTGCTACTTCCTAACACTTCTCAGTTGTTCCTGGATTATTCATTTACATGTCTCCACCCTCTTCCTGACTTCCGGCAACTAGAAGATGAGGAATCTTGACTCATTCATCTCGTATTCGGTTGACAGGATGCCTGACAAGTAAATGCTCAGTATATGAACGTATGAATGTAGCGTGTGCTGGGTTTATCATTCCAGGTTCGTTCTCTCCCCTTCGTACCCTGCTGTGGCCTCCCAGAGGCTGATCTGCAGACCGCAGCATGGGTCCCCGGGGGCCTCCGGCTTCTGGTTGGGTCTGGCCAGTGGCAGGAGATCAAGGGGAGAAGCGAGGGTATTTGTGCCCCCGGCTCCCCTCTTGTGGGAAGCCATGCGTATCCTGGGATGTCTCTCAACAAAAGGTCACCTCTCTCCTCCAGGCAGCCAGCTCTACGTGACTCTGGTCTTCCTCAGTCTGTAGCCTCTTCCTCCCTGATCCTTTGAGCCAGAGAAGGGGGTGACATCTAACACCAGGTCCCCGCACCACCCCCTACAGCCTCCCTCCACCCAGCTCATGCCTGTATGGTTACTTCCTTTGTAAATTAACCCTCGGCAAATTACCCCCATTAAGTATACCTTCACCTTCTTGTTGGGAAACAGCAAGCCCCAATCGCTTATGGAGATTTTAAGTTGTTGGAGCTGGACGCTGGGGCTCCGGGTGCTTAAAAAGGGGCACAGCGCGGGTCGTCAGAGCGTGTGGTGTGGCTGGCCACGAAGGGCCGTTGGATGCGTGGCAGCTTTGAGGAAATAAACAGCAGTTTTGGAAACTATTCTCCACTCGGGGCAGACTTCTCTCCCACTAACTTGTACGATCTTATTTCAGACCGACGGTCTGTTTTTAAGTCTCTGAAATTACCCCTTATCATGGTTGTGTATCTGACTCAGCACAGAATGTGCCAGGAGAGGAGAAACTCGGGACCAAAAAGAACAGAGTGGGGACGCGTACGTTAGGCACCAGCCGTGCCAGACGAAGACTTCGTAAGGAGTTCCGTTGGTGTCGAATTCTGTGTTTCACTTCCTGCTCTCCTGGGTTCTCTCCTGCAGGTGATTATAAACAGCACCATCACACCCAACATGACCTTCACCAAGACGTCGCAGAAGTTTGGGCAGTGGGCGGACAGCAGAGCCAACACGGTGTTCGGCCTGGGGTTCTCCTCGGAGCAGCAGCTGACAAAGGTAACGAGGTCCCCTCGTCCGGACACTGTCACCCAATCCCTGGGTGCTGAGGGCCTGAGTGGCCCCGCTGGTGAGCAGGATTCCTCTTCAGCCTTTGATTTCACCCTGGCTGGCCCCGCAGGGCTGCCCAACTAGATGGATGACCTTTTTGAAATCCCAGGTCCCTGGAAGTGAAGCTGTTGTTGGGGAAGGAAACTCACAGGACACCTGCTCCTGCAGAACCTGAGATCCCAGCCCCAGTGCGCGGCTCTGCAGGCGGTTCCTTCCCCGTGTGTCACCCCGGGCCTTGTGCCCAGAGTGCATGCGCCTGGCGGCCACCAGCATCAATGACCCCTTGGTTGGAGCCCTTAAGGAGAGGGAGGTCCTGCTGACTACTCACTAGCAAACAGCTCCTAATCTGGAGGCCCTGTGCCCCTTAAAGCATCACACCGCGTTTTGTCTTACGGTTTCTGGGGAAAGGATTCGTAGCTTAGGTTTGATTCTCCGAGGGGCCCAGGACACGCTCTGTGGACAGTCAGAAGGTGTTGAGGAGCACATCGTGACCGACCACAGGCTTGGAGAGCCCCAGGGTCTGCGGGAACAAGCTGACCACTTCTGAGAGGCTCACCCGCTGATGGATGTGTGAGCAAGTGGGCTTCCCTGGAGGATGGGGAAGGAGCCCCGCGTGCGTGTTCAGAACGCATTGCTTGAAAGTGAGACTGGCTAGTTTACATGACACAGGAACTTACTGGAAGGTCACAGGGCCTCAGGGAACCCCGGGGGAGAGTTGAAAGGGAAGGGCTGGAGCCAGGCTGGCTTCAGGAGGCTAGGCTCTGCGAGTTGTTTCTCTCTAGACCATTGCCGCGAGCATATTCATTGAGCTGTGGCTGGGCGGACCCGTGCGAGGCGCTGAGCACGTGGAGCTGTGGTCCCGTCCGTCCCCAGAGGCATTTACAAAATTCCAGGTTCGGGGGACTTGACAGGGCCACTTGGTATGGACTGGGATGCTTGGATTTCCTGAGTACACGGGGGACAGCTTTCAGAGGAGGTTCAGACGAGCCAGGAAGCCGCCCCGCAGGGTCCCACGGATTTGTACCTCTTCTCTGTTCAACGTGTGTGCGTGTGCTGTGGACACACGCACGCACACCTCGGCACACGCACGTGCACACTCAGGCACACACACGCATGTGCACACTTAGGCACATGCACACGTGCATACTTAGGCACACGCATGTGCACGCTTAGGCACACATACACGTGCACACTTAGGCACACACACGCATCTCTAAGGAGGCGTGCAGCCCACAGACCCAGCCATCCTACCTCCAGCCAGACATGCGACCCCGATGGAGGGCACCCCACGCCCTCTGTATCCCCAGGTCCTTACATGGATGCCACTCCCTAAGAAGCCCAAGAGACCCAAAATGACCTGGTGGCACTTTGAGCATCTCTTTTTTGCCACCTACTCACAGGAGCATTCTTTCCTGGGTCCCAACACGTCCAGCTCACCAGGGCTGTGAAGCACAGGGAAAATCCTTGAGTCTAGGTCATCGGGTATCATCGTGGGAGGCGATGTCCCTTGGTCCCCGGACTCGCGTGCTGCGCCTCTGGGGAGAAGCACCACGTGCCCCCACCCGGAAAGCCTGGTGCTCCCGCAGGCAGCACAGCAGGCGGGAGGGCCCACAGTCCTAAGGTTATCGGACGCTGCTTCATTTCGTCGGCGCAGAAGCGGGTTGGCTGGTTTGGGGCTGTGCTGTGTGGCACAGGAGACCTTCAGGAGGCCTCCAGGCGGCGGGGCTGGCTTAGCCACGACAGACCATGGCATCTGTCAAGGGAGTAGGAGTGCTCCGGACGAAGGGCCCCCGTGCGATCCGCTTTCCACCGAGCAGCTGGCCGGTGGCCTGAGGGCGCGGTGCAGATCTGGGGGCTCGGGGTGGATCCCTGTTGTTGGCAGTTGGCGCTCAGCAGGTCAGAGGGTGGGGCGGCCGTGGAGAGCAGGGGTGGGGGTCATCTAGGTCGCGAGGGGCCTCTCTGGTGCCCGGCGAGTGTGTTGGCAAGCCTTTTGGGCGAGCACTGGGCTGCCTGCAGGACCAGGGTAGGGCGTCTGGTTTTTAAGGATTCTCTCTGGTGTTGAAGGTGGGAAGAGCATAGTCTGTTCAGGATGTTACAGCAAAATGCCACGTGTTGGGGTGGCTTACAGGCAACAGAAGCTGACTTCTTGGAACTCTGGAGGCCGGAGGTCTGAGATTGGCATGCCGGCACGGTCAGGTTCAGGGGTAGGTCCTCTTTCTGGTTGTGTCCTGGCAACTTCTTACTGTGCTCTCACGTGGCCCAAAGAGAGCAAGAGAGCTCTATGGGGTCTCTTAATAACTTCTTCTTTAGTGTTTTTATTTGAGAGAGAGAGAGAGACAGACAGAGCACAAGTGGGGGAGGGGCAGAGCGAGAGAGGGACACAGAATCATCGGAAGCAGGCTCCAGGCTCCAAGCTGTCAGCCCAGAGCCCAACACGGGGCTCGAACCCACAAACCGCAAGATCATGAACTGAGCTGAAGTCAGACGCTGGACCAACTGAGTCACCCCGGCACCCCAATCAGTGGGGTCTCTTATAAAGGTACTAATCCCTGGGGCGCCTGGGTGGCGCAGTCGGTTAAGCGTCCGACTTCAGCCAGGTCACGATCTCGCAGTCCGTGAGTTCGAGCCCCGCGTCAGGCTCTGGGCTGATGGCTCAGAGCCTGGAGCCTGTTTCCGATTCTGTGTTTCCCTCTCTCTCTGCCCCTCCCCCGTTCATGCTCTGTCTCTCTCTGTCCCAAAAATAAATAAACGTTGAAAAAAAATTTAAAAAAAAAAATAAATAAATAAAGGTACCAATCCCTTTTATGAGGGAGCCACCCTCATGACCTCATCACCTCTCAGTGGCCCCACCTCCTAATCCATCACATTGGGGGTTAGGACCTCAATGTAAGAATTTGAGGGGGGCACAGGCTTTCAGCCAGTTGCAGCCATTCATGCAGAATATGAATCTTTCAGACTCGGGTTCCCTCTGGGCTCACTGGGTTCCACTGATGTAGCCGTTCCCAAATCTTTGTCACTAAGCTTCCCACTTTGTTTCTTCCAAGTCCCTACCCAGGCAGCGAGGCCCCTCACCATTTCCCCAGGGTTCAGTGTAGACCCGACTCCAGGCGACCTGCCCCGTGCACACCGGATAAGGAAACACTCCAACTCGTGCCCACAGGGAGGATTTTCCTTTTCCATCATCGTCCACGTCACGGGACCCGCATGGACAACCCCATGACAGCGTGTGCCGGGGGCTGGTCATGCGGCGTGCGGCTTTGGGGGTGGGCCGGGCTGGTAGAGGCCGGCCCAGACGTGAAACCGCAGCCTACGAAGGGTTTCAAGCGAAGAACGAAAATGGTCGGATCCGCACCACAGGCAGAGCTTTCCAGTGTTGAGGGAGACGGGGTTGTTCTGGTCCAGAACGCAGATGGCGAGGACCTGAGTGAGTGGACGTGGGAGGCAGGGGCTCTGGGATGAGGGCGGGCACATGGACGGATGGACAGAGCTGCCATTTTCTGAAACAAGGAAGAAGAGGGGCTGTGAGGATCAGAGAGGATTTTTGTGAATTGGAAGCAAGTATGATCGTGGTTTGGTGAATGAATGATTCCAGAACCCCTGTCTGGGGTGGGCACCACGGCTGCTCGGAGGAGGCGGGGTGGGGGAGTTGGGAGCAGCCCCTGCCCTGCCCCCCATGCCCCCTTCCCACACCCGCTGGGGTCCTCAGACCCCTGGGGACGCAGCGATACAGGGAGGCTCCTGTGGGAGGCAGGGCGGTGGCGGGGCCGTGAGGCCGTGTGTCCCTGACTCCGCCCGAGGCTCCAGGCCTTCTGGAAGCCCAGGCAGAATCCGTCTCAGCTGCCTGGAACAATTTCTTCAATCTTTGGAGGAATCAGAGTTGCTAGGAAGGATAAACAGGAGAGAGTTTAGCGGAAAGAATCGAAGGAAGGGGGGGAACTCAAAAATCAGAACAAGTTGTGAAAGTTCACTTCTTTGTCCGCCGAGACCTGGGGGGACCTCAAGCCATGCCTGCCTCCACGCTCGGCCGCTTTGCATCCTTCCCAGGCAGAAGAAAACGTCCTGTCATTAAGGAGGAGTGTCTGGTCTTCCCGAGTCACTTGGTCTCTTCTGGCAGTGGAGTCTCGGCTCTGTGACTGTGACCTGCCCTTGTCACAGAGGCTTATCAAAGAAGCCCTCGGATGTCTCCTTTGTTCAGAATGTTTCAAGCCAACTTTTCTCCTTCTCTGTGAAGGGAACGATTAACCACACACGGATAAATTACCATGAAGTGCGCCTGGAGGTCTCGACAAGTGGCAATTAGCTAGCAGAAAGGAACTTGGACCTGAGGGGACAGCTGTGGCTGAGTATTTCTGACTCCACAGAGCAACCACCCACAGTCCTGAGACAGGAATCTGTGATCAAACCCTATAACTAGGCTAGAAAAAGGAACAGCAGCGCGGCTATTTTCATTTGAGAACACTTTCTACGCACGTCTCTCTCTACCCCCCGGAAGGAAAATAGAAACCTTGGTCTCCACTGTTCCCATTATAAGGACCACTTTACACCACGGTCCCAAAAGTCCTACAGGGACACTTTCTGCTCTTTAGACAGGCTTTCCAAAAATAATAGCAGCTGTGTAGTCCCAGAGGTAAGCTGGGACTCGGCTGTCCACCCACCCGAGGGGACGTGAATGCGGCCTACTGAACGTTAGAAGGGATTTGCACATTCTGGTAAAAGGAGGAGCTTCGGAAAAGAGACAAAAAGGAAGGAAACCCAAATGTAAAAGTGAGCCACTTGCTAAAGTTTAGATTCTTTCTCGTATCTGACCTTAGATGTCACTGTTCTGAGTTTGGCTCTGAGTTTGGTGTCATTTATCCCAGACAGAAGGAAGCACTTCCTGCCACGAAGGCGGTGACCCAGGGTGGGGTTGCTTGTGCCCTGCGATTGATTCGTCTGAACCCTGACACACA